GCCCCTAGTAGCGAACTGGCTATGAGTCACCCGCGAGCTGGACGGGCTAGCTCGCCCGCCAACTCGTCAGCTCGCCAAATTAAAGAATTATGCAACAAGGCGAAGCCGAACTCAAAGATAGGCAAGTTGAGCAGCTCGACTCGCTCCATTTAACACGCTTGTGTGAAAGGAATCTGGCCTTTCACACACAAAAAGATACACATGGACATCTACAACTTCTTTAGTTTATCTTTACAAACAAAGTATTTGTAAAGGTTAATGGAAATCATGCATATGCACTTTTGTGCATTGTAAAGAATTGCAGTCATCCTAGTGGGTAGACCCAATTTGATTAATCAAAAGAAACCTAATCACAAGCACTAATGTTTATTTACTCTTTTGAACTAGGTTAATTAATTAATTAATTAATTCAATCTTTAATACAGCCACTCATTTATTTGTTGAGATACCAAACTTTATTCATTGCTCTCTCTATATATAATGTACTTTTTTAAATCTAATTAAACACCACGATAAGAGTGAATAGATATTTGGATAAAGTATTTTATAGAAGAATGTGGGCAAACCACAAGCAAAGCACACGCTCACTTATATTAATATTAGCACTATGGAATTGGGCACCGCCAAAATCCTATATACATACGTGTGCAAATACGTACAGAAATTCACCAAACGTTTAGGCTGCAGAGTTTTTGTTTTTTTTTTTATTGTTTGAGTTTAATAATTGTGTTTTGATTTCGTTAATTGGCATAATTTCTTCTAGTACATTCCACCTTTGAAGCTTACGTGGCACCAATACCCTAGTTCAGGAGAAGAGAAATTTCAAATTCGACGAGAAACTAATTTTTAAAATATATGACAATTTATATTGCATTCTTCCTATTTGGACAGAGAGTCTATTTTTATGAGAACTGCTATTCATCCCCACTAGGGATACATCCCCAGTCTATATGGAGTCATTTAATTTCACCTATCATTTAATCAATCATTTACATCCACATAAATTGGGGATGCATCCCCACTGGGGATGAATAGCATTTTTCTATTTTTGTACTTTTAAATGAAGGTGAGGCCGAGCCGTTTACTATATCTGTATTATGTTTTGTAATTATTATTAAGAAAAAAAAGTAACATGATGGATGTATATCAAAATTGATAGCGTGGATCGACTAATGAACTAATGAAGTCTAGCATTGATATGGAAAAACCATTTATGTTACTAATATTAGCAAAAAAAAAGGGTTCCTACATTTCAATTTTTTGCATTGTCATTCATATTTCCACGTTTGGTTGTGGAAATTGTCATTTCTATTTATTTTCTCAATTAAAAACTGTAAAATGACAAATATACCCTCCTATTTAAATAAAAGAAGAAGAAAAGAAAAATAAAGAATAAATTGCAACTATAATCCCAATTTTTTATTCAAAAAAATGCAAATAAATCTTGTATAAATAATTAAAAAATCAAAATAAAAAAATAAAAATCACTTTCTTTCCTCTTTTCCCTTCCACCACCACCGTCGCCGCCATGAAACCATCAATCAACTGTGTGAAAAATGTGAAGTTGTAGGGTATTGTACAACCTCACCATTCAACTCGTCAATCCAACCAACCGCTAAACACGCCAAATAAACAGTATACACAATCTCTACTTTCAATCTATCGTCATCGTCTCTGTGATTTTCAACGAACCCTTACATACAATTCATTCAACAAAACCATTCAAATTCCCACATCGGTCACCAACTTCAAGCTTGGAATTCAAATCTGAAATCTGACACCCACGAGCAGTAACTCATAGCTGAAATTGAATAACTGATTGTGTAATTGATGCAATTGCAGTTTACCCATGGATGTTTGTGTCTTAATTTGAATTCTCCCAGGTGAATTGGATGATTGTAACACGCAGAGCCCATCAATTTTGTGAAAATGATCCTCCCCGTGCGCACAGTTTGTGGTTGATTTTTATCTAAAAATCGAATCAATTGGGAGGATAATTGGAACAGCTGGATCATTACCCATCAAGAGGGATAATTTCATGATGTTTTCATAATATACGTCTCTCATGGTCCTTGAACTATCTTGTTTAGCTCTTCGACAAAAAAAGACTTTTTTACTAAGTCAAGGTGGACCCTCAATTGATTCGATATTGACAACAAATACTACTGGTGATAATATAACGCGTTTGTTTAGCATTTCTTTTAAGTACTTATAAATAGTAAATCTTACTGTTTGGGTTTGCTTTTTCAATCTTATAAATTAGTCAAATATCATTTTTATCCACATGTATTTGTATGACTCGTAACTTTTTTCTATTTTTTATTCATACATTCCGTAGAACCTATTATTTATAGATTTTCAAAAAGTTTTGCCAAATATAAACTTGTGAATAATAAGTTGGTAGAGCATACCAAAATGTATGAAAAAAATATGTTTGATTGGTTTTGAGAAAAGCTATGCAATGCCAAATCTACCCTCAATACAATTTGAATATTTATGCAAAATAAATTCTTGTAGTGATCACTTCCGGTATGTTTGGCATGTAAATTTAAATATATGCATAATTTTTTATTTTATCACATCTTTCTTTAATTTATTAAATTAAAATTTTCCCCTTATTACAGCAACCGTAGAAAGATACTTTGTTCATAGTTACTTTGTTCATAGGAAATGATGGCTAATAATTTAGCGTCTATTTGACACATTTTATTAAAATTTTCTTTTAAATTTATTTTCAATCACATGTTCTTTCAATAAAATAATTTTGTACGAAAACATTTAATTTATATTTACTTTTTAATCATACATTCTTTTAAAAAATCATTTTCATTTCATATAATCTTTCTTCGGTGGCGGGATACACTAATACCATTTGCAGGTTGATTTTGTATTAAATTCTTCAATGTAAAAATACTGAAAATTAGAATGTGGCTTTTTGGTGTATACGTTGTCCAGAGTTTAATATGGATAGTAATGAGCTGAGTCGAGTTGATCAAATCGTGACCTTTTGATCAATGGGCTAGGTTTGTTTGTCGATGGATCTTGCGAACTAAGCTGGCCCGCGAGCTTTTTAAAAATATTTAAAACATATATGAAAAATCACACCGGAGATAAAAAAAAATGAAATGATATTTAATGTAAGAAAATAAATCACACTCGAGATAAAAAATGAAATGAAATTTAATGTAAGAAAATAAGGAAAATAGCCCATTGTGTAGTATTTATCATTGTTCTAAAAGGTGCCAAAACGCGCCGCCTAGGCGCGACGCTCGAGCCAATCGCGTTGAATTGGTGAAATGCGGGTAAAAATGCGTTTCTGTTCAAAAATACTTCGCCTAGGCGTGGCATTTTGGCAAAATGTCGCGCATATGCGTGCCTAGGCGGCGCATTTTCGAACATAATTTTTTTTTTTTTTGTAAAAAATCTTTTTTTTATATAAAAATATATTTAATTCCTTAAAAATAATTAAAATAATATTAAAAATACGAAACCCATTATGACGCTTATTCTTCGCATTGACGCGCCTAAATTTGTGATTCTTGATTCTCGACCTCGACGCATCGCAACGCATTACGTCTTTTAGAACACTGGTATTTATGAATGAATTCCACAAAATACGTGAATAATAAACGTGTAGTAGTTGTTAACTTGTGGTTAAAATTAATCTTTTACCCTTACATTAAATTCTAAGGAGATTATAATGAAACCCAAACAAGCACTTAGTATAAGCAATTATTCGTCAAACTTATGTGTAATTGAAAGATCTAAATGTTTCACATCGAGTAACCCGATTCATAAACTCCAACTCTAGTTCATGAAAGCAAAAGTAAAGATTTTGACGTCTATACGGTTGAAGTGTCAAATACGTCATGACTTGGGGAGTCACTGAAATCAAAATTTTCAATTGCAGTCAAGTTTTAAATTCCTTAGCAAACAAATACATTGTAAACTCCTAAAAACCAACGTATTGATTGGTGTCAATGCATTTATTCTAACATTAATCTCGATTGCTTAAGGTTATGGTTTGATTGTGTTGAAATGGACTTTCCGTAGTAAAGACTTGATCTTACAACATTTGACGAGCGAGTTTACTAGATTATTTCGATTTACACATGATTAAAATCTATAGGATCGTGATTTTTCGATCAATTTTGACTTAATAGCATTTGTAATTTCTTTATTATTTTTCTTCGAAAGACCTTTGACCATTATTGTTCAAACCATAGACTTATAAGCAATGACCGTTACTAATTTAGTTCATGTTTGACCCCCATTAAATTAAAATTAATTTTTTTTATTTTTTTATGGATAAATCTATTTGTACATAATACTTTCTACCGAATTGTTTACTCCCTCTCACATGCACGCGGGCCCCGCGTGAATTAAAAAATTCCAGGATGTAGTCCCCACCCCCCTATTGTAAGTAGTCGTCAGTAAGGGATTATGTAAAAAAATCGGTACACGTAGTATGACCATTTTTTTATTAATCAAACATTTTTCGATAAAATAATATTATACATAAGTTTAAAAAAAATTCTTTCTTTTTCAATCACGTATTTTTAAAAAAATTACTATGCTCCTCATTAAAATGTGAAATAATGCAATCCAAAGAAAGGCTTAATCGATACAATTGTAATTAGTTTGACTGTTTTATGTCATTACTATCCTGTAAGGCTCGTGTCACAAATACAATTTCCTCACTCACCCACGTACCTCCAAAGTCCACTAGCGTGCCCTGGCGTATTCGGCAAACCTAGCACCCATGCTGACGTGGCCCTCACTGCCACGTCATCAACCTCAAATATCCCCGCCACGTGTCCAACTACAAATTGCCCCCTCTTTATCCATCACTGAACCACCGCAATTTTGTTCCCATTTCACTTCTTTTCTTGTCATGTAAATCCAGATTCTGAGAGAGAGAAAATCCCAAATTTTCCAGACTTTACCGACAAAGAAAACGGGAAATAGTTTTTATTTTCAATTTTTTTTAGTGTATAAATATGGCGATGCCGGGGATACAAAACGGCGGCGTAACGGTGATGACGGCGGGACCTGGGCCCGGGTTGCCAGCGGTGGTGGATCAGAATGGGCATTCGGCGACTGGGCTGAGGAGTTCGTCTCCGATTCGGATTTTCTTGTATTTTCACAAGGCGATTCGAGCCGAGCTCGATGGACTTCACCGTGCCGCCATGGCCCTCGCCACCAATAGAAGCTGTGGGGACATAAAGCAGTTGATGGAGAAGTGCCATTTCTTGCGGTCGATTTACAAGCACCACTGTAATGCGGAAGATGAGGCAAGCCTCTGTCTCTCTCGGAATTATATGATATTTCTGTGATTGTATGTAAAAAAAATCTTTCTTGTTTGCTAGAATTGGAAGATAATTGATATTTGTTAAGCTTAATTGAGCCGATATTAATCTAAAATTTGGTGAGATTTCTGAGTAATTGAGGGATTTAAGCTGTTTGGGTGAAATTCCGAGTCACAAAATTCTTGTGTACCGGTTTAATTGATTTCTCGATGATTTAGTTTTTGATCCAGTTGAGAAGATTGCTGGCATCATTTTTTTTTTGATAACCGCGGATGTCCGAGTCGGCTTGCACGCACCTTGACTAATCCCACGGAGCCTGAAGTTTCCGACCGGATACTGGCTGGATAGTCACCTATGTGTCCCGACCGGTGACCATTGGGGAAAAAATATAAGACCTGACCAATTGGGCAACCCCTCACTGTTGATTGCTGTCATCTTACTTTAATTAACCACGTCTACAAGTGTCTGCTAATTATTTTCTCAGAATTTTAAATTATTTTGAGTGGTGGACTAGGTGGAATTATATGGCAAGTTATGTTGGTCACTGAATTTTCTGCTTGCCATTATTATCTATTCAGTTTAACTCTAATGTAATTGTGGATTTCTCGTAAGAGCTGGTTGATAAAATTGAGGAAAACCGTAGAAGAGTGGGGAAACAAACTTTTCGTGCTTCTTCGAATTGGATAATGAAATCTCTCTGCATTCTGGTTCAGTTCTGCGGTATTCTTAAGAAATCCAATATATACATCAAGAAGAAAGATGGACACCATGCAATAAAAAATTTAGAAAGTAATTTGTAGTGCAAAAGTGTTTTGAGGATAATAAAAGCTGTATGCTTTACACCTCCTCCTAAGTAGGATAATATCACCAATTCAAGTTTCATGTCAAATATTAATTACACCCCTGTTTGAGCCACATTCTTTAAAACTCATTTTCCCCCAAACTCAATTTTAACCACACATTCTTCCAATAAAATAATTTTGCACGTAAGCCAAAATAATTTCCCTACTTTTTAACCACACCAAAAAAAATCATTTTTACAAAATCAATTCTCAAAAAAAAGGCTCAAACAGGGGCTATATTTGTGAAATGTGGTGCTTAGAATTTGTATCATTTAGTTACTCTTGTATCCTGCATTTGATGACAAAGAGTAAAGAATGCATCTTATATGTGACTTTATCCTGTATTTCGCATTTGATGATATGAAGAGTAAAGGCTGTATCTTACGCATGACTTTATCCTGTATTTCTCATGTGATGACATGAAGAGCGAAGACTGTATCTTACACGCGACGTATTGTGTATCCCACTTTTGATGACGTGAAAAGTAAAGACTTATCTTACATGTGACTTTGTCGTGTATCCCGCACGACATGAAGAGTAAAGATTGTATCATACATGTTATTTTGTCGAGTATCCATCATTTGATGACATGAAGAGTAAAGACTTTATCTTACATGTTGGAATGTAACATTCTTTATCGTAATAAGCTTTAAATGTCACTAGAGTTTGGGTATATATTTGAAATCCAGCGAGGCAGTTGGAACAAGATATTATCATTTTTGAGATATGTTCATTTTTGAGATATGATACACATTCCATTATAGAAATTTCAATATTATGAGCCAAACATGTCATCGATTTTTTTGTCCGCTTTCTTCATCGTAGATTAAATCTCTTTCAATGGTTAAAAAAGTTATTATATCATGAATTTCATCCCCATCCAGATATATATTCTGATAGTTGTCCTTTTTAGTTAGATTCTAAGTTTCATTTAATCATTTATCAAGCAAGCACCCATCTCAAAAATATATATTACATGCAGCTCGGTTTAATTTCTTTTTGACCTTACTGTACTCTCCAAGAAGTCCATTGTGAATCCTATGGTTCTGAAAATGTGCCAATCATTTTCTTTCTATTTTTGATCCATAATTAGCCAACAAATGGAATTACGTTCTTTATCTGGTCAAAAAGTTTAATTAAAGAAATGGATGCCTACTACGTCGGTGGAGGCGCATGGGGGGATCCATAGGGGGATTTTTAATCCTTTTTCCTTCACTATAGCAATTAGCAAGTGGAGTGTACGAAACGAAAGAATGAAGTGATAGCAGCTGGCAAGCTATTGGTTGGGAAAAGAGTACCTAGTTGTCTTGCTTTCCCCCTAAAAGTTGTGTTTTTAGTTTGGGACTTATTTGGATCATGGATGGAATCAGGCAAAATAAATAATCTGAAGACACATAATGAAAAGATATGTTGTCTCGATATTGTTAATAAACCCTGTTTTCTTTCTCAATATAAATCATGGGACTAAAAGTGGAAAAGTTTCCATCTCCACAATTAGCCTTCCAACTTTTCTTTTTTCGCCCAAACATGTAAAACAAGAGGGAAGAACACTTCCTCGTTGTTCTTAGTGTCCTACTCACTGCCACTGTTTATTGGCCACAGTATTACTACCCTATCAACCATCACAATGTTATCATCCCACCAGCAATCACCCCACCAACTCCGGCTGCCAACATAAAATGACCAGAAAAATCACCAACCATCCATAAACAAATGGTTACCCATATTATTAGTTCACAAATCCCAAATAATACTTCTTCTATTTTTTCCCAATAATACAAAAACTTAAAATTGAGCTATGTGATCATCAACCATCCATCAACAACATTTTTACCCCGTATGATGTCCCCATTCCCAAACCTCAAGTGATGTTTGTTTTAGTAAGCCTGCCAATAAATTAAAACTCAAACAATCGGAATACATATTTTGATCATGAAATATAGTGAACAGGGAATTTCAACAAAAACTTGTTAACTTTTTCTGCCATCTTTTAAAGTTTCATATACCCAACACTCCCATCAATCTGATGTGAGACTTTTTATTATTATTTATTTATTTAAATCAAAACATAGATCCGAGGCTTGTTTCCATTACCCTAGTGCTTGATAGTGATGTCAATGAGATTGAATAAGATTACGGAGATCGTTAAAGATTACGATTATATTATTATAANCTTCTATCTTCTAAAGGCATTATTCATCAAACATCTTGTGCATATACTCCACAACAAAATGGGGTTGCCGAACGCAAAAATCGTCATTTATTAGACGTTACTCGTGCTCTTCTCTGTCATATGCATGTCCCTAAACGGTTTTGGAGCGATGCTGTCCTTACTGCTTGCTATCTTATTAATCGCATGCCTTCCTCTGTTTTGGACGGCGCATCGCCTTTCTCTCTTTTGTTTTCCTCCTCTCCGACGTATTCGTTACCTCTCAGGGTTTTTGGGCGTGTTTGTTATGTTCATCGCTTTGGTCCTGGTCACGACAAACTTGACTCTCGCTCAATGAAATGTGTTTTCCTTGGTTACTCCCAAACACAGAAGGGGTATCGTTGCTATAATCCTTCCCTACGACGCTATTTCGTCAGTGCAGATGTCACTTTTGATGAGTTCACACCCTATTTCTCTGATACTGGTACGTTTCTCGAATCCACTCGGGATCCCGTTGGCTTACCTGTTCCGTATCTACCAGTTGGTGTTTCTCCAATACCAGCATCTTCTTCGTCCATTGGACCGGAGTCGTCGTCCTCTCATAAGGAACCGCCACCTCCTTTGCAAGTTTATACTCGACGATCTAAGCCACCAACATCTGTAGCCCCATCCGTCACCTTGTCGTCTCCAGATCCTGCACCAGTCATATGTTTTGACTCTGAGTCATTGCCCATTGCTCTCCGTAAAGGTAAACGTGTTTGTGTCACTAAACACCCTATCAGTCACTATGTCACTTCTGATTCATTGTCACCATCTTTTTCCTGTTTCACATCCCAACTTTCTAGTGTTTTTGTACCTAAGACAGTAACAGAGGCCTTATCTGATCCTGAGTGGCGACAGGCTATGGAGTTGGAAATGGCGGCCTTGCATGAGAATATGACCTGGGACCTTGTTCCTCTACCTCCTGGTATACATCCCGTTGGTAACAGATGGGTATATGTTCCGAAGTTCAATCCTGATGGAACTATTAATCGGTTGAAAGCCTAACTAGTTGCTAAGGGTTACACACAGACATATGGTATTGATTATGATGAGACATTCTCTCCGGTTGCTAAGATATCTTCTATTCGCGTTTTGATTTCTATTGCTGCTAATCTTGGTTGGCCTTTATTTCAATTGGATATTAAAAATGCCTTCCTTCATGGTGACTTACACGAGGAGGTTTATATGGAGCAACCACCTGGGTTTGTTGCTCAGGGGGAGTACCAGAACTATGTTTGTAAGTTGAAGAAAGCTTTATATGGGTTAAAACAATCACCAAGGGCATGGTTTGGGAAGTTTTCCGATGTTGTTTTGGAATTTGGTCTTCAGAGGTGTCAGACAGATCATTCAGTATTTCATCAACAAACTGGAGCAGGACATGTTATTCTTGTAGTGTATGTAGATGATATTATAATCACTGGTGATAATGCAGATAGGATTGCCCAACTGAAGCAGTTTCTACAAAAACATTTTCAGACCAAAGATCTAGGTAAGCTTCGATATTTCTTGGGTATTGAAGTCGCTAGGTCTAGGTCAGGTATCAACTTATCTCAGAGAAAATATGTCCTTGACTTGTTAGGTGAAACGGGCTTCCTTGGAAGTCGTCCAGTTGATACTCCTATGGATCCTAACGTGAAATTTTTGAAAGATGAAGGGGAATTGTTTGGAGAACCGGGAAAATATCGTCGTCTGGTAGGGAAATTGAATTATCTTACCATCACACGACCAGATATTTCGTATGCCGTTAGCGTCGTTAGTCAGTTTTTGGATGCCCCTCGTATATCTCATTGGGAAGCTGTGATACGTATTATTCGGTATTTGAAAAAGGCTCCAGGTCTTGGATTATTGAATAAACCGAATGGACAAATCAGAATAGAAGGGTTTACAAATGCAGATAGGGCAGGATCTCCGTCAAATAGACGCTCCGCTACTGGTTTCTGTACTTTTCTTGG